AATCGTTATAAAGATAAATGATAATTCAAGAAACCCAGAAACTCGAACTGTTCTAAACGATAGACTTTCACTGCTCGGGGATGAAGTAGGAGTGAGCAAAAGGTGTATATGTATTTACACACGTTGTATAATATATATATATATATATATACATAAGCCTGTATAAGAAAAAAATAACAAATTTCAGTCAGCGTGGGTGCATCATGCATGCTTATAAACTACAGATGATTTCATGACACAAATGAAAATGGATTAATTTAAACTTTAAACACTGAATACGGAAATACTAGCCCCCCCCCCCCCATTTTATGGTAAGTCTGTGGACTTATAATGCTAAAAACTGGGTTTCGATATCCGTATGAACATAACATACACACACACATCATCATTTAACTTTGTGCTTAACTACAAACAAACAGATACATATAGTGCTGTTTTTATTTTGGGAAGATCTTTAACTCACCGCTGGAGACATTTCCTTAAACCATATGAAAGATCAATGCTGATCAATTTCAGATAATTATTTTCTATACCAACAGATCATTTATAGTCTTAACTCTAGTTAAACTTCAACACAAACTAAAATATACGTTAACGTAACTATCGGCTGTAGCTGGAATCTCTGTCCTTGTGTTGAAAATATGAAACACGATATTATTCACACTTACTCGTCGTTACTAAGAACATCAAAAGCATTTCAAGTATATACATATTTCGAATTAGATGTAAATACAACAACTGTGAAATTAAGACTTAGCTGAATGTGTACAGTTTCTTTATCGTGTGGAGTTGCGTGTATAACACGCACACCACGTAAAAATAAATATTCGATAATTTCATTATTAGCTTGAAATTAAAAAATAATTAGATGTTTCTACAAGGAAGAGGTTCTTACAGGATTAATTAAATATATGTAAAACGTTGCTCAATAGATGGCGCGCATTCACAATACTAGTAGAAGCTACGTTAATGTTTCAATTAAAGTAAGTGCTTTTACCAACAAAAGTTTATCAATTTACTTTCCGATTCAATTCTGAATACTCAGTAGATTTATTCTTTCCTCAAAAACTAATGATTTTATTCAAGGATGGCCTGAATTAAAGTTATTTTACAACAGACTCTGCCAGACTTAAATGAGGATATTTTCTTTAAGATATCGAACTTTATACAAGTTTAAAGTAACAAACGAAAAGAAATGAAACCTATTGCGTTAGATACACTCATACGAATTTATATAGTTACCCTTTTAAAATCATTTGGTATAATATTTGAAGGTAAGTCAAATAATTTAAAAAGGAAGTGCAAATGATTTTAAAAATCTTGTCGAGCGCATATTATGCAATTAACAAACATGAAAACTATTCACATCATTCATGTACTTGGAAGTGAATAAAAATATTATGAAAAAAAATCATAATTATTTTCCATAGGGGAGTTTCAATTGAATCACACATACACAAAGACAATAAAACATAACATATCTCGCTACAATCAGTGAAAAATACTTAACAACATCGCCAAGGTCGACTTAGCCTCTACACACACATATATATACAGTTCTCACATACATAAGTACTGTATAAAACTGAAAATATACAGTCTGTAAACGTGGATTATATATATAGGCAAAACGCTTACGAAAACACCAAAATACTACGAGATTTTTATGAAGTAATAAATGCACCTACGAGACAGTTAAACGAAACAATTTTTTTTTCAACGATCCGTTCTGACATTCTAGTTGTTTACACCTGACTTTACATACAGCATGAAATGGGTCTCATTATGCATCTGGCTCCTGTACTTGATTTAAACTTTTTTTTTTATACTAGCCAAAATACCCGGCTTCGCTGGGATTATTAGATTGCTATTTTACTGGTCGACTGTGTCTGTGTGTACGTGTGTATTTTGAACCTATTTTAGATATGAAATACAGCCAAAAATATTTTGAAAGATTCTGTTTTCCACAGAAACCTAGAGAAGTCATCAAGTTTATTGTGTAATAAAAAATCTTTGTTGTAAGTTAAGAATTAGTTATTTACATCTTAATAATTTATTATTGCACTGAGAATTTCACATCACATTTTATCACAGTGTTTTGTATATTTCTTATCCTTGCAGTTCCTCAGGATAGGCAATGCTGATTGTTTTCCTATCTGGTACGAAGATAAAAAAAGGTTCTTGCCATCACCAACCCTGGAGCAACCAACATAAAGTTGGTCACGAGAAAAGCATGAGTTTTGAAGGTTGAGACCATCAACCTTGATGCTCATGGCAAAGCTGAGTCGAACTGGGAATTGGAACCGCTTGAATTGAACTGGCAAGTCAGATGGGGTGATTGGAATGCGTGGAATAAAGACATCGTGTTTAGCCTCAATAAACATATGGCATCAGCTTCTTAACAGCCAAACGTGTTTCACTGCAGAGTGTTGATGGGTCCAGATTCCTGAGAAGCACAATAGATGCACCAATCTTGAGCTACAAATTTTGTGGTGTTACACCTGGTGGTTCCAGAGAATTGAAGAATTTTGTTGGGTAACTCATTAGTGTCTGGAACAGTGTCAACTGACTTCTACTATTGCACTTGGCCCGGCAACTGAGAGAGAAGTCCTCTGTTTGTGATATTGACTGCATCATTCTTTGGCACCAGGATGGATCTTTCACACAGCCACTTGTGATCATGGAAATATGAGCTACATTTGGAAAAACTACTTCTTTCAGCCCAAAAAAATGTCAGTTGGAAGCGTTTGGCCCCATACCCTATTGAGTTTTGTTCATTTCTTTGTAAAATATGTTTTTTCCCCAAATGTTTGGCCAATTTTTAGATTATTTTTACCATTTGTTCTTTAGCAACAGTATTTGACAGAAAACCTCCACATATTGTTCATTCAGTAAGTAAGAATTAGAAAAAAAAAAAATATTATACTTTTCTATAGACCTTCAGGAAGCAGAATTATGGGGCTTAAGGGCCAAATATTGGCTAAAACTGTTTGAAGTCAAATCTAAAAATAATACCCTCAAAATTTCTTTAGTATGCGTGCAAATTTTCAGATCTCTTGGTTCTTTCCTTTTGTAGCTATGGAAGTCACACATACACACAGATAGGCTCTTTTATTATCATTATAGACTAGTAAAAATACCCGGCATCGCACGGGTTATTAGGTTGATATATAATAGCAAGTGCATAAAATTTATCATGAAAGTAAAAATATCAATTAAATTTTAAACTTAAATGGTTTCTGAATTAAGCTATTTTCTGCTATATCCCCAAAGTTTTTAATAAAAAACAAACCTCTTTAATCAATGGAGACTCTAATTTAAGAAATCAACAAATACTACCATTCCAGTTTTGTTGTTTATACATTTCATTTTATACTTTCAGTACATTGACTTACCACAATATTAGGTTATACTTTTGTTGCTAGATAAAATGACATAAAAGATATTGTTGGAACGCATTTCTACCAAAACGCACTGGCTGTTCTTTATATTAAAAGTTGTTAATCCAACTGATATACTACAGGGTATACCATGGGGCGCGCGTGCGCCCACGCTCGTGGATGAGTAACAACACACTGGTGCACACCCTCAATGTCCATTTAGTATGGGTGCAAAATTTCAGGTTTCTAGGTTCTTTCCTTTTGGAGTTTTGGTGGTCACACACATAAAATGGAACATATTGTTACTAAAACGCACTGGCTTTTATGAATATTAAAAGTTGTTATCTAAGGAACCA